CCACTCCCAATGCAGCCCAGCTAATGGATGGCCTGAGAGCTCGGGAGACCCAGGTGAAGCTGGCGCCTGGCTTTGGCCCAGCCCAGTGCTGGCCACTGCAGCTCTCTGGGGAATGAACCAGCACATAAAAATTCTCTGTCTCTGCCTCTATCTGGGTAATTTTGCCTATTAGACAAGTAAATCTTAAAAAAAAAAAAAAAAAAAAAAAAAACTCAAATGAAGGGAAAAGGCAAGACACAAAAAGACAATTTTGATACAACGCCGTCACCCTCCAGACTGCTGCTCAACAGACAGCGTTATCAGCTTCATCTTCCACTCTCAGACTAGGATGAATGGCTATAAAATTTATACCTACTCTGGAAATGCCATGTAATAAGACTTTAACATTTTATCTCAACTTCTCCATGTGGGCTAATAACTGCATAAATACTCCTCATGTGGAGAGCCTTTTGAAATGAAGAAGCTTAATGAACGTGAAATCTTACAGTGCCTCAAAATCACTCAATTTTCCAAAAATGAACAGAGAAGTGGTTTTGATCTTCAGGAACCCCCTGCTCAGGTCTCACAAAGTGAGGGACACTGCTGATCCCGCCCCAGGTCAGAGGCTTCGCAGATGGGACTCAATTCTCCTTCTCTCTGCCCATTTAACTGGACTTTTAATAATAGTAATAAATAGGAGCCAGTGTCATGGTGTGGTGACGTAAGCCTCCACCTGCAGCACAAGCACCCCATATGGGTATCAGTTCATGTCCCGGCTGCTCCATTTCTGATCCAGTTCCACTCAAGTTCGGAACTCGAGAAGGGTGCATGGATGAGGAAAAAAATGGACCACTATGATTTCATGATCATAACAGACAATGCGGGAAAGCTGTCCACTTTATTTATACAGAAACAGTCAAACTCTGGCTCAGACTTTTTACGTCATGGTCAAGTGAGTGTTTCTAAGGATAATTCTGCCATTTGTTTCACCTTAAAGCAGGATGTTATCCATCTTGACCCTGTGGTCAGGAAGTTCTCAATAGATGGTGCATATCAATCAGAAACACATTCCTACTACAATCCCCATTCTACAACTTAATCTTGAATCAGTTAAGGAAGGAAATGCATCACAGAAGGGAGGACCTAAAAGATCAAGGAAAAGAGGGAAAGAATAGATTCCTACTACACCTAGGGGCTTAACACCCTTGATTAGCATATGGTCAATGGGGGCAGCTGAGACAGCAACAATAAAAGGCCCTTCTGCTAAAAGGATATCAGCAACATCAACTTCCAAGTTCACCTTGGTCATAAACATTAACCCCGCAGAGACAGAGGCAGACAATGCCTAAACAGATTACAGAATCCTCAGCGGGGTGAAGCTGCATTCGTGTGCTAGTAGAGACATCCACGGGGGCCCTGCCACGCAGCGGGAAATTCCTTGCAGCCCTGCCTGCAATGGAACAATATTCTACACACCTTCACGTCTGCCACACCCACACCATAGTCCCCAGCACAGCTTCCTGCTTGTGGCCTGGAAAAGCAGTGCAGGACTGCCCAAAGTTTTGAGACCCTGCATCCACGTGGGAGACGCAGAGGAAGCTCCTGGTTCCTGGCTTCAGCTCAGCTCTGGCCTCTGCATCTGAGGAGTGAACCAGCAGATGGAAGATCTGTTCCATTCTCTCTGTAAAGTCTGCCTTTCTAACAAAAAACTAAACAAATCTTTTTTTAAAAAATAGAATAGAAGAAACCAGCAGGATAGAGTGCATCACACAAATCAAGGGCATTGTCTGATCACATTTTATCAGTTTATGAGCAGGCATGGGCCTGGTCACAATGTAAAATTGCGACCCTTGCCCACAGATCGCAGTTGGAGGAGCCCTGAAACACACAGCATAAGCCAAAGTCTTCCATGTGGACAGCAAGGCTCTCTCACCTGGCTCCTCCCTAAGCCTCCAGAGCTGTGTCCTGCACAGGGAGTCCCTCATCCCAGTGCTGCCAGGGGCTGTCCCTCTGCCCCAGGGCCCCCTCCACGGCCACAGGTTCCCCTCCAGCCAATCCATCCCCAGGTACAGCCAATCACCTCCTCCACCCCGCCTTCCCTCTGCCTCACAGCCACACACAAACCCGCTGAGAGCCCCAGTGCCCTGCTGGCCTCCTGCGGCCTCGGTGTGTGCTTCCCAGTACCAAGCTCTGAGCACAGTGTTCCAAGTTGGTCAAATGAGGAAACAGTGAAGGATGTGTGATGAGATGGTTGCCTTTGCAGGCCTGGGTCCAGATCCCCCTCCTAGCTGCTACAATCCTTAGACAGCACCACACGGCCTCCTGTCTTTCACCCCAGTTTGCAATACTGCAGTCCGCACTTCATACTTGAGTAAGTGATCCAGAGAAGGTGGGCTTGGAGGGTCCCACAGGCAGGTGAGTCCAATCAGAAACAGCGTCCTGAGGAGGCCCCAGCAGGGGGAACCCACTAGCTCTCCATGGTGGGGAGAGGCATGGAGGACCTTCTCTGCTCCGTTGCTCCTGGCACCAGGCTGCCAACAGGAACTCAATGGAAACAGAAGCAGCATGAAGTAATTGCCTCAAGTGACTGGATTGCTGGTGCCTACTCCCGCCCTGGTTCTGAAATAGCTACTGACTCACGCCTCCCATTAGGAGATGCAACCTGGGGGTGGGGAGGTCAGATCTCAGCCCCCCCCCCCCCACGGGAGGCTTTGAAGCTTTTCCAGGACTCCACCTCACACACAGGAATGCTGTAATTCCTAGGGCTCTCACACACCTACGTTACAGTCCCCGCAAGTCAATGTTCAGGCATCGTCCAAGACACTTTGATAGGCTCTGCCAACTGTCAGTTTCAGCTGTTCTCTTCCATTTCCACACAGTACAGAAACTACCACTGCAAGAGCCGTTGGCTTTCTTCTGCCTAATCATCCATTTTATTCAGAAATGTCTTTGCTTAGCCTGTGCCCTTCTAGGCTTTCAATCACGTCCACAATGAAGCCAAAGCTGACTCGGTCCTGTAACCCAGGTATGTGCAGATGAAACTCGTCACACACCCTGCTGAACTGTACCGGCCGATAAGGGGACTGAGGGCGGTGGGCAGCACGTGAAAGCCTTTCCCCTCCTCCGACACACGGCCCCAGCAGCTTGGCTCATTGGGCCAACAGAACTGTGGGCACCTGCGGGCATGCGACCTGGCTTCAACGCCTCTGCTGCCTGCTCCCCTCCCACCTCCAGCCGCTCTCCCCTCAGCACCTCACATGAAACAGGATCAAGTCGCACTTCCCAGCCTCGACTTCCCCTCGCTCGTCACTCCTCACAAACCAAGTCTGTCCACGAGCTCCGTGCAGTTCCACTCAGCCGCGCCTCCCCTTCCTGCAGCTGCCTTCACAGCTCTAACGCCCGTCCTCTGGGGCCCGTCCCCTGGGGCCCGTCCTCTGGGGCCCTCGGCGACACGACGGCAGGGTGGCTTCCCGGCTGCAGACGGCAGTCTCCCCTCCCTCGCTCTCACCAGTCTGGAGAGAATGCAGTCCTCAGCACGGAAAACTGCTGCTTTTTCCCTCCTCCAACACGTTTTAAACAGAGCTGCTGATGCTCAAAGGAAGCCATATTTTAAAGGCTTTGAACAGTATTTTTCTCACTGAAAATCTGAACAATTCATGTAAAACAGCTTTCACATGCTATTTTTTTTTTCAGCTTAAGCATTTAAATTATTGGGAGGAGGGGAGCGAACCCTCCATCTTAAAGTTCTACTTTAAGAAACCACCTGGTAACCATTAAATTGGGGGAAAAGAATGAGAAAAAGAAATAGATTTTTACAGGTTGGACCATCTTGCAAAGGCCGCCTAGTAGACCCCTTCCTTCTGCAGACGAGGCAGGGCGTGTTCCCTCCCGAACCTGCCCACAGCAGCACCAGAAACAGAACGCTGCCTTCTTCCTCTTCACGCAGCCCACATCTCACCAGGACAATCTCATCTCTCACTGAGTCCTCAGGATGGACTCCTGCCACGGAGCTTCTCAATTGTCAAAGTTGCACAAGTTCACAAACTTCAAAGGTTAATTCCAACAAACCGGTGCCACTGAGCGGGGACGCTTCCCCCAGCGTGAGCGACAGCACCCACACCTCCCAGGGGATTAAGAACTTGAGTCCATTCCTTCACATCCAGCCCTCAGCTACACTTGAGAAGCTGGTCCAACCACACACACACTGGAAAATTCTGGAAGTTGCCCTTTGAGAAAAAGCACTGGCAATCTATCAAAGACTCCTTATTCTAAGGGTTTCCTGCTTGGATGAGGAGGTGCATAAGATTTCATCAGGCGAACATGTGAAGAAGTTAAGGAAAGGTCGGAAATGCAGGCAGGGTGGGCTCCGGGTGGGCAGGCAGGCAGGTGGGGTGGTCACACGCGGGGTGGGCTCCGGGTGGGCAGGCAGGCAGGTGGGGTGGGCACACGCGGGGTGGGCTCCGGGTGGGCAGGCAGGCAGGTGGGGTGGGCACACGCGGGGTGGGCACAGGCGGGGTGGGCTCCGGGTGGGCGGGCAGGCAGGCAGGTGGGGTGGGCACAGGCGGGGTGGGCTCCGGGTGGGCAGGCAGCCGCAGGAACAGCAGGTCTGAGCGTCAAAGCCAAAAAGGAAACTGAGCACAGAAGTTCGTGCCACCCAGAGCCCTTCCACAGCCCGTCTCTGCTCGGGCACCTCGGGCACCGGCACCGCAGAGCCCCCGATCCCCAGGTGTTAACGCTCCCCGACACCAACCCCACACGTGTCAGCGGGGCTCGTCCGGGGCGGGACAGAGGGCAGCGGGAGGGCACCAGCACCTGACCCTGCGGGCAGACGAGAGCAGCCCGGCCGGTGCCCAGCGAGCCTCGCACTCGCAGGGATCCCTTCGCGGCGACCTCGGAGAGTCACTCGACCAAAATAGCTGGCAAAGGTCAGCGCGCCGCTGCCCCGAGCCGGCCCGGCGAGTCCGGCACGCCGCCCGCCCACGCACAGGTGCACAGCCCGCAGGAGCCCAGGACATCCTTACCCCATGTTGCCAGCCCCAACTTGCGCCGAAGTTCCTGCTCGAGGCGGCGGGGTGGCCGGCGGGGGCTGTGCGGCCGAGGGCGGAGCTGCTCCGGTGCGCCCGCCGAGTCAGTCCTCGCCCGGAGACGCGGGGCGCTCCCGCGCGGCTGCACCTGCTCCTTGAGGTCCGGGCGCGGCGCGGAGACGGCGGCCTCTACTCGGCCCGGGCGGCCTCCATGTGCGGCGGGCGCGGCGGGCTCACCGGGTCCTCGGGGCCGCGCCGCCCATCGCGCTCCGGCCCGCACGCCCGGGAACGGCCTGCTCGGCGGCGCGGGGGCCGCGCTTCAAATGTCCCCGGGGCGGCTCCCGGCGCGGGGCGGGGGCGCTCGGGCAGGGGAGAGCTCCGCCCGCGCTAGGGGCAGCGGCGGCACGGCTGGCCTGCGCTCGCGCCGGGCACCGGTGCGCGGGGACGCCCGCTCCGAGGGCACAGCCGGCAGCGCGCGGCGTGCACGGCGCTCCACATCGGAATGTCTAATTCCTCCCCTCCGAGCGCGCGGGGCGGAGAGGCGGCGGGGAGGCGGGCGCGAAGGCTGGGCAGGACCGAGGCGCTCCCCCGGCGGGGCGCGGCGGGGCCATCTCCGGGCCGGCGGCGGGCTGGGAGCGGGGGGCGCCCGCGGCGGCGGGGGAGGGGGCCACCGCCCGCCCTCAGCCCCTCGCGGGCCCCCGCCGCCCGGCACGACGGGGCCCGGCTCGCGCCCGCCTCGGCATGCGCCCTCCCGTGCCGGCGGCGAGCGGCTGCCAGGCGCCCGGCGGATGAATGAACCGCGGCAGCCGGGAGCCGCACGCGGCGCCCCGAGGCCCTGCCTCCCCGCCCCCGGCCCGGGGCGGCCGAGGCTAACGCCGCGCTGGCGGCGAGCGCGGGGCTCGAGGCACGGGCAGCGCCGCCGCCGCCGCCCGGGCGCCCTCGGTCGCGCTCGCTCCGCCGCCTCGCCTCAAGGCTCCGGGGCACGCGGCGCCCGCCCGGCGGGCTGAGCAGGTCCGAGCCGCGCGGCCTCCGGCCCCGCCGCTGCCCACGAGCCGGCCCGCGGAGGGGCGAGGCGAGGCGGCCGCCGCTTTCCGGTCAGCGCCGCCGGCGTGAGGCGAGCGCGCCGGCCGCGCGGGCTGCGGGAGGGGGCGGGGAGGGCGCGCGGCGAGGGCGGCTCCGCACCCCGCCCGCGGGAGGGAGGGCCCGAGGAGGGGGCGGCGGCGGCGGAGCTCCGCCCGCGGGCCCTGTCAGCCGCGTCAGTCAGCCCGGTGAGCGGGCCTGGCGGCCTCGCTGAGGGCGGCCCTGTCAGTCCTGTCAGCCCTGTCAGCCCCGGCGGCCTCACTGAGGGCGGCCCCGTCAGCCCCGGCGGCCTCACTGAGGGCGGCCCCGTCAGCCCCGGCAGCCCCACTGAGGGCGGCCCAGCCGAGCCGGGGCGTCCTGCCGAACCCCTCCCCGCGCCTCGCGCCTAGTGGCCGGCGGCGGGCGCGCCGCGCGCTCCGCTCCTCGCCGCCACCCCGGCCTCCTCCGCGCGCCACCCCGGGTGCTCGCGCTGGGTCTCCATCCTCCCCGCGGGAGGACCTTTAAATAGCCACGTCAGCGCGCTCCCGGCCGCACGCGCGTCAGCCGCCGCTCGCGTCACCGGCTGCGGGGGATGATGTCACGCGGCCGGAAGTCCTGCTAAATTAGGGAAGGCGCAGGGGAGGAGGAGCGGGGCGAGCTGCCGGCGCCCACCTGCTCGGCTGCTCCTTAAAGGCCAGAGCACGGGCGAGCGAGCCGGTGCCGGAGGAGGCGCCCCGCGCGTGGGTCCGGGGGGCCGCGGCCCCTCAGCGCTGGGGCGGGCCAGGGCCGCTCTTGCCCGGCCCCTCGCGCCCTCGTGTGAGCGCGGGGCCGCCGGCGCGCCGTCGGGGAGGAAGGGTCGTGGAGGACGAGGGCCCGCGGCCCGTGCGGTGGAGCTTGGGCCACTCGGAAAATGTCCTCGTCCCCGCGGCAAGGTGCCGGTGGCTTAGCATTCCAGGCTGTGCAGGATCGAAGTGAGAAAGTCCGTTTCTTCACTTGCTTCACCGGCACAGGCACAGGTTGTTTAGTGCAGAGGTATTTGGTCAAGGTGCGTCTCCCTGTCCAGGTTACGTGATGGGCATCTTTCAAGTGGCGGGTCCCACCACGGTCGGAGCCCTCGTTACTGCGGGAGAATTTAGTTTGCGGGTAGGTTCAAACAATTAGCTGTACTTTTATTTAACTCCATTGTCGCGGTCCAAAGATAGATTTAACTATGTTCTCCCCAGTGCCGTTAGTTGCGCAAGTTCACCTATAAATTCAGTGACCACGTTTTCCCAGACACTGTGGAGCTTTAGACCAAAGTACTGGCACCTGAAGTGACCTGGGAAACCCTGGGTTTGGGATGAGCATCTCGCAGAAAGCTTTGTTAGGGAGGTTGTGGGTCAGAACCACTGCAGCTCAAATATCCAGCAAAGCTCTAGAGAACGTAGACTCTGTGTGTGTGAGAGCTTTTTAAAAATTCACCAATGGTTTCTCCTTTAAAAAAAAAAAAGATTTATTTATTTTTGTTTGAAAGGAGATTTACAGAAAGGTCTTGTATTGATGTAATCCCCACATGGCCTTAACAGCCAGAGCCGAGCCGATCCGAAGCCAGGAGCCTGGAGCTTCTTCCAGGTTTCCCATGCGGTGCACAGGCCCAAGGACGTGACCCATTCTGCAGTGCTTTTCTAGGCTGGATCAGACGTGGAACAGCCAGGCCATGAACTGATGTCCACGTGCTACGGCACCAGTGGAGTGTGACATTTTAATGCTAAGTTACTCACTTGGCTCCTAAGTGTGGAATATTGGGTTTGTGACTTTCTACATTTCTATTTTCTTCCTCACACGAGGAACTCAAGACTAAAAGGACACAAGCAAAAAAGTAAAAGCATTTGCTAGTGATTCTGGTTGCCTGGTAGTGTCTGGCAGGTCTGTCCCCATGGCCTGGCCTGCCGAGAAGCTGGCCTTCAGAGCAGGACGGGCAGTGGGGCCGCCTGAGCCCTGCCAAGTTCCTGGCCACCACACCCATTGCACCCCATCCAACCATGGCTTGCTGAAGCTGTTCGCCCTGTGGTCCCAGACAGTGGCCAGGATCCCTGCTCTTAGAGCGACTGCCCCCTGCCCTGGGACCCCGCTGAGGTGGCTGTGGGACTCAGCCCCGCAGCTCTCCCTCTCCCGAAACTATGTGTCTCCGCATCATAAAATCAGAATCTTGCTTCAACTTTGAAATATTAATAGGAGAGAAGTGGAGCTTTCTTTTTTTTAACAAAAGGTTAATGAAAATCTCAGGCAGTTTGTCTATTATATATAATATCAAGTTATAGAAATTTTATGAACCTACACCTCCTCCGAATGGAGTTTCTTATGTTAAAACAATACAACTGTCATTCTCAAAATAATACCAACCTCTAGTGTTGTTATTCTGTAGTTTCTCAAAGTCCTGCTCTCTCCCTCCGTGGTAACTAGAGCCCCGCTCCACAGTGTCTAGACTCTTCCTTCTGCCCTGCCGTCCCCACTCACTTTCAGCCTCTTCCCGTGATCTTGACCCGAGTTGCCAGCCAGCTGTCGGCTGCCTCCCTGACCTGAAGTGCTCCACCTAACGTGGAAAGCAGCTGTCTTCTGCAGAGATCTAATGTCCAAAATGTATGTGATGATTTAATGTCAGCCTACCAGTTGGAAAATTCTGCTTTTAATGGGTCAAATTTTCTTTCTAGTGTGTGTGGATTAGCATGTTAACGACGACAAAAACTACAGCTGTTCTTAGAGAAAATGGCTGCCTCTTCCTCTGGGACAATTCTCACAGTTCTTTCATTAGTTTTTTAGTTTAAAGGGCAGAGAGTGAAAGATGGAGAGAGCTCTTGGCTTGGCTGGTTCTCTGCCTGAAGGCCTGCAGCAGCTTGGCTGGGCCTGGCTGACCCTAGAACTCACTCCGCGTCTCCCATCGCGGCAGGAGCTTCGGTGTTTGAGTCAACCTGGGTGCCTGGTGGGGCTTGAACCTGGGTTCTCCAGTAGGAACGACAGGTGTCCCAATGAATGTTTAACAACTGTCTCAAACTCCCATCCTGTTCAGTTTAGAGGAATCAGAGTGTTCTATGGTTTCCACTAACAAATGATTACTATTGCTTCTAGAATGAGCTTGCTATAACTTGAATTTGAGTTATGAATTTCCAACTCTGATTTATTCATATTAAGAATTTTTTTTCTGAGTCCTTCTTCTTCTTCTTCTTTTCTAAACTTTAAAGAGAAACAGAAACTTTGCATCCATTGGTTCAACACAAAAATTCCCCAAAGAGTGGGGAGCCGGACAAGACTGAAGCTGGAAGCCAGGCACTCCCTCTGGGCCTCCTACTCGGATGACAAGAACCAACGCGGGGTGCACCTGAGGGTGCCTGACGCCCTGAGGGCAGGCATGAGCAGGGAGCTGCTTGTAGCACTCCAGTGGGGCAGGCAGGGTCTCCAGCAGCATGTTGCCCACTACACTGCCCGCCTTGTGAGTGTGTGTGTGTGCACACGCTAGAACTTCCTAGAAAGTGACTTAATTTCTTTTACCGGAAGAAACTACTTTAATGGTGTTTCAAGTTTCTAACAGTTCCTGTTTCCCACTGAGCTCTGAAGATTTGTGGGGCGGTTTATGAATACCCTCTGATTTTAGAATCTGTGGGCGAAGGCATCTGTCTCGGTTGCTTCCATGCCCTTAATAGGAGATGGCACTTTTCAATGGGGTGTTCATGGCTGGTCATGAGACATGGCTTTCTCAATGAGATAGGAAAACCATGCCAGAAAGAGAATTAGAGCCATTTTTAAATTTTTTTCCAATTTTTATTTTTAATAACCTGACATTAGATAACAGCAACTGCCTTTCAAACTCCTTTTTTTGTTGTTACCAGAATATCATTATCATTTCAAATAAAGTCATGGGGGGAAATAATAGGCCAAAAGATACATCTCCATGGGACAGAAATCTCAAGATCCCTAGTTTACAGCACATATTCGTAAGAAAACCAAAAAACCAGGGATTGGGGCAGGTGCTGGGTTGAAGACGCCACATGAAATGCCCCCAGCTGGGTTCCCATACCCACGCCACGCCCAATCCCATGCACGCGTTGGGAGGCTCGAGAACATTAAAGTAGTTTCTTCCGGTAAAAGAAA